TTTATTAAGAGACCCACATTTGGACGTATGCGGGCTTGGAAGCATAGAAACCAGGTGTCCTAACTAAAATAACCCATTGAAAAGACTTGCCTAGTCAAGCTAATGCATGGTTCATTTGCTTTGAATGTCCAGCATTTGAGTGGCAATATTCAGGCTTAGCTGGTCCGAGAAGACAACCCGAAGGCTACCACGATGTGTGCAGCAGGGTCTTCCATATAATTGCATACGTTTTATATTAAACCCGTTTTTTTGTAATGTTTGAATGGTCTTTCTTTAAAGTACGACAAAAAACTGCCCCCTAGCCTAATTCAAATGTTGCCTTGCTCCCATTTTGAGAAGAGATGTGGGTCAACGATTCGATAGTGAAAATGGTTAGTTGAGCAAGGCCACAGAGCTTCTTAATTACTTTATGAAAAATGCGATGTCATTATTATAAGTTAGGTGGACCTAGGCTCAAACTTCGAACCACATGTATTGATCATTATTTATATTACATATGAGTCACAAGGGTCAGGAAAATTTTAATTTATATTACATGTGAGTCACAAGGGTAAGGAAATTTTTAGTAAATGTCATAGGACGGGGCAAATGTTTCCAAATTTTCATTGACCGCTTTCTCTTTGGTTAGGGACCGTTTGGATCTTGTAACGTATTTTTTGAAATAGTGCATTTTATAACCGATTTTTGGACCGTTAATTTTCAAGATTTTTATAAATGTGCTTGATTTACACTATTTTTTACGTTTTAAATATTATAATCAAATATAAAAATATATTTTAAGGCTATCACAAAAATTTCCAATATTGAAACCATATTTATCAATACTATTTGAAGGTGTGCTTTACTTTGATTGTTTAGAGCCTCGCCTCTATACAAACTCCACCCTTTTGTTAATGATTACTTGACACATTTTCTTTACCCACTTTGTTTGACACAGAAAAAGCGTCCACTAACGTTTCCAAAAGATACGTAAGAAATCCACTAATGCATTAATAATTCCCCCATGGAGTTTTCAGCATCATTCAAATAGGAATTTAGTGGCATGAAATGTAAAATTCGTTATTCTTTCGGGTCCTCACAACATCACTATAACAAAAGAAAAATAATAGATCTCAATGAGTCCACGAGAGAAAAGCCACGATGCGGCAATCATTTTGGGAGGGCAAAATGGTGGTGTTGGATTGGGCTAGTATATAATGAGATTATTTATCTTTGATACAAAAAAATCATAATTACTTATAACTATTTTACGTGAAATTTAAGCATATGTGTGTCACGATGCTCGAGAAGATTTCTTTTGAAGTTTAAAGTTAGTTGTGACCATCCTGTACCAAACATAAATGGTGTCGTTGCATATTTTTCTTATATACGAGACCATTTATATTTGGTATAAGGTGGTCACAATTAATCTTAACCATTAGATGTGAAGTGTGATGGATGCATTTATTCTAGAGTGATTTACTAAAGACTCTAAAATTTTAGATAAAATACAAAATGTTCTTCTTATAGCAAGAAATTACAAAGAAGATCGGTCATCCCACCTTCTTTTTTAAAACTACCCCTCGGTCAACTTGAAATTTGATTTTTTGTTTTTAGATTTTTTGTTAATAAGGCAGTGCTCCATGCTTTAAAGCACTGCTCCACTAATGAAAAATAAAAAAAAACCCTAAAAAAAATCAAAACTCGAGTTGACCAATGTTTTTAGTAATTTCTGTATAAGCGAAGCATTTCGTATTTTACTTAAAAATCATTTTTTATTTTATTGACATACTTCAAACTCAAAAAAATAAAAATAAAATGAAAATAAAAAAATTTTAAAAATAATAATAATAATAATCTCAATATTTGCAACAAACTCAAAACTATCAGATTTCATTGCAAGTAACTGTGAACAGAGTAAATTTTCAAGGGGCAAATCAGAATGGTTGGGAGATGTGGTGTAACCATGGAGAAGCTCCAATCTAAGAGTGAGAGAGAGGGAGAGCGCGCTCTTTTAAGAGTGAGAGAGAGAGACACCCTACACCGGTGATATATCTAGTCTATGGTGTGGCAGATCTCCTTAAATACGGCCCTTTGGGAGTCCAATAGAGAAAGATACACGTCCATTGCCCCCATCTCATGCATCGCTGGGACAATGGCCATTATCCCCTCCAAAGGAATGAAACAGGGCATAAACGCATCAGGTGCCCCACTCCCAAAATCCATTTCATCAAACGGGATCCTAAGCCAACTGTTGGCCTCCAAATTAGGGCAACACACCGTCGACTCCAGATCCCCTGTGGAAACCAATTCGCTCCAACGGCCCTCTCTCTCTACGCCCGCATCAAAGTCCACAAAGGACCTCGCATACCTATCATTCACTTGGGCAATGGCCGCGTGCACCACCTCTGCCACGCGGTCAAGTGGCTGGCTCAATAGCTCACGCACCGTGGCTCGAGGGAAGGCCCACAAAACCATGTTGCCAAAGTAGCCATGGGCAATTGGAGGCACGACGCGGGTGCGCATGTTGATCGGGATGCGCAACTGACTCGTCTCCTCCTCGCCCACGCCACGCGCTCGGGTCACCTTTTGCCAAATGTGGGAGACCAGACTCTCGAACGTGCTATAACCGCGACCGCTTGGACAACGCACTGACGCGCGCGCCTTGAGCTTGGCTAAAAACTCAGGAGAAAACGGGGTCTTTTCTACTCGAACTTGGCTCGCCATTTCCTCCCATGGAACCTCTTTTACAAGACTCTTCTCCCTGTACTCCTTGCCCAAGTGGTCGAACTCGATGGAGAGTGGATCCCGTGGCTTGACCACGGCTCGGTCATGTATCGGCACCGGATAATCCGTTAGGCCACGCGTGGCTTGCCCCCAGGCCAAAAGGAACGAGCCGGTGGCCTCGCCATCTGCTATCAGGTGATTGGATGTGAAGCCAACAACGAGGGAGCCACACATGAAGCGAGTCAGCTGGACTTGCATTAGCTCCTCAATGCCCTCGACGCTTGGGTGAAGATCGCATAGTTGGGGGGTTAATTTCAAGGGACTAGCCTCATCTAATGTGCAGGAGGCCATGGCCTCGACGAAGCGCACCCCTTTGTCATCGAGGACAATGGCTCCTGCATCGTCGGTGAGTCGGCCGGCCCACTCGCGGTAGTCGGCGAGAGCGAGGCGAAGGCCATGCTCGATGGAGGAGTTCGTGGGTGTTGGTGCTTTGTAGGTATAGATTAAGGCGATGTGGAAGTTGCCTGCTGCTCGATCAAAGGGGCTTAGGAGGATTGTAGTGGAGATTGAAGGTGTAAACAGTTTGGCTTCATAGGATGGGGTTACTAGCCTCGAACTCAGCTTTTCAATCTTCATCTCTCTCTCTCTCTCTCTCTCTCAAACTGGCAAGTTTTCACTCCCAAGATTTCACTCGAATTTATATTATCTTGAGGGTTCTCCTCTACTATAAAATTCAAATCAGCGCAACGACTTTCGTTACTTCTTGATTTGGACTGGCCGTTCCGTCTTATCTCTCTCTCTAAAGTCTGGTTATGAACTTCAAGTTAGGTGCTAGTTCTCTCTGTTTGCTGCAAAAGTATGGTGGAATCCAAGTGCTTTTAGTGGTGGATTTAAAGTAAATATGAACACTCTGAAAGTGGTGTTGACCGAGCCAGGCTGTTTTATCTGGGACACCGACTAACGCTTTTTTGTCAGTGTCGAGGTCTTGGGCACGTGGTTGCTATCGTCAACACGTTCGCAATCAAGCCATCCCACAGGTAAAACTAGGCAACTTTCAACCATGAGTAAAAAGATAGAAGTTTACATAGAGCCAAGGCTCTAAACAATCAAATATTGTGCCTAAACCAAAAAATTATTATAAGACGTTGTTTTGGTGTTCAAATATCTTCAAATTGATCATCTCCACATCAAGATGTATGAACACGAGAAAAAATTAGATTTTAAATTTTAAAAATAGTGTATTTTGTAATGTATTTTTAGACCATCAATTTTCAAAATTCATAGATATGTTGATTTACACTATTTTTAAAGCTTTAAACTTTATAAATAAAGATGAAAATGTATTTTAAGTCTTTCACAATTATTTTTAGTATTGAAACCACATTTCTCCATGCTATTTGAAGGTAGGCTCTAATTTGATTGTTTAGAGCTTAGGCTCTATACAAAAGGCACCAGAGGTAAAAAGGCAATTTCACTTTTGGAGTTTGTGAGGAGGCCTTGCAATGGGCCGGGAAGCCCTGACTGGCTTAGCCCGAACAAAGTTGGCCGGCTATGGGCCCAGCTGACCGGTTTGACTTGTTTCGCCCAACTCTGAAAAAGTGGGCCTTGGCTACAAACTGTGAATAGAGTCTTGCTTGAGGCCACTGTACTCCCAACCTAGCTCGACCGACTCTGTTTTTCTATTACATTTTTTTTTTCTTTTTTCTTTTTCATTTATTTTTCGTCCAACCCGACGGCGCCTATGGAAATAACAGCAGGCCACTGCCCAGGCTAGCGCGGCCCATTGCCACCCTTTATCTTGAAATTTCAACATGGCCACCAACTCAACAACGGCATTTTGACGTGATGTTTGTTTAGTGTCAACGAATATCTTCATTTAGGGCACCTTTGGGTCTCGTAAAATTGTTTTCTAAAAAATATTTTCACATGTAAAATTTTTTTCATGTGGTTTAGTGTGAGAATATTTTCGATTCAATTAGTTTTAGTGTATATTTTCGTATCAATTAACAATTAATTGATGTAAAAATATTTTCACACATAAAAGACTTTGTTCGCATAAAAATATTTTTCAAAAAACAATTTCAAACGAACTAAACGTGCCGTTAGGTTTTCATAATGTTACGGTGTTATACTTTACTTCGTAAGGTCTTCAAGATGTAATTTTAGTATTAAAAGCGTTACGATGGCTTGACAATTTGTATCCGACCCTAGCTACAAAATTAAAAATTCTATATTTTGACGGAACCTTTTATTTTTATTTTTCTTTTTTTCTTTTTTTTTTAAAAATGGTTTTTTATTTTTTTTTCTTTTTTTAAAGAAAAATGGTTTTTTATTTCTTTTCTTTTTATTTTTTTTTAAAAAAATGTAAGTTAGAAAAATTGTCAAAGAAGAAGATTTGAACTTAATACCTTCTGTAAATAGGTATACTAAGGGCTTGCTACTTTACCAATGCACTACCAGACTTTTTTTCTCAAACAAATATAAGTATTTATTAGCGTAGTATGTTTCTTTTTTTCTTTTTTTTTTTATTTTTTCTTCTTTTAACAAAAAAAAAAAAATACGGATGTTAGAAAAAGTATTTGGGGGTTAAGTGTTTGTGGTTTTTCAACTGAACCTTTTATTTTTCTTTTTTCTTCTTTTTTTTTTTTTTTTTTTGAAACAAAAATGGAAGTTAGAAAAATTGTCAAAGAAGGGGATTTGAACTTAAACACGTTTTGTAAAGGGGTATACTAAGAGCTTGCCACTTAACGAATGTATCACCAAAAGTTTTTGTTAAAAAAATATATATTTTATTAGTATATTACATTTCTTTTCTTCTTCTTTTTTTCTTTTTATTTTTTTTTATTTTTTAACAAATGGAAGTTACAAACGTTGTTTAAGGGTTAAGAGGTTTGTTGAGTTGGTATTTAGAGAGTTTGTTTTAAGAGATAATATGATATGCTTGTTTAGGGTTTGAAGAGTTATTTCCTTTGGAGTTCCTTGTTTTTCATTAAAAAGACAAGTATGTTTCATTTTTGTTATTGTTAGTTTTAGGTGTTGTTATTGATTGTAGTGAAAATTCAGCGAGGGTGTCACATTTACAGTTATTGTGCTCCAATATATCATAGACCATCAATGGAAACATGATAACATCAAAGAAACAATATAGAATGAAAAATACATCAACATGCAACTCACATAGCACAAATATTTAATATGGTTCGATCACAAAACATGACTTATTTCTATGGGAGAATGATGTGAAACTTTACTTATTAATTTGATGAAGATTACAATAGAGATTGAGATCCAAAGCTCTAATTTCAAGCTACTTTACTTCTCTAAGAACAGGGCCCAAAACACGGTCCAAACACACCATAAAATATGCACTTTAGTTCTAAAACAAGGGCAGCAACAGGTTGAAAAAAGCCCATGCGTATATGACCTGAAATCTCCACTTTCTCTATCGACAAAGAAAGGCACAGTTGTAGACACCCCATTTTAAATCTGATAAATTCTATGGTTTTCTGAATCTTTAGGACCACATTATTCTAGTAAACCCAATTTAATTACCCCAAAACTACCCAAATCCTATCCCAATTTGAAGTAGAACCCAAGAGTTTTCAAACGGTTCAAGAATTGCTTGAATCGGACCTACGGATAAAACGATATAACAAATGACAATTTAGTCCTTATGAGACCCAATTATCGAGCCGCGGGCCAGGCTGTAATGGGCCCAATAGGCCTAGATGCAGGCTAATAATGCAGTCAACGCATCTGATGACGTAGTAAACGCGTTTTCTTTAATTAGATAAGGCTAAAACTTCAAGATAAATCCAAAAAATTTCGAAAAAAACTCCAAAAAATTTAGAAAAAATCACCAATTGAATCTTATAAATACCCCATCTCCCTAACCCAAAAATAGAGAGAAAAAAAAACCAAAAAAACATTAGAAATTCTCAAAAATAGTAAAATTATCCAAAAATAAAAAAAACCCTTAGAAAATTCCTAAAACTTTAGAAAAACTCCCAAAAATCCCAAAAAAATAGATAAAATTCAGAATTCATATTCAACCTCTGCAGGTCACAAAATCCTTAGAAAACTAAGGAAATTCTCTTCCAGACCCCGAGAAAGACCGATAGCTTTAAAAAAATCTCTAAATTGAAAACCCTAGAGAAGATAGAAACCTTAGCCTCCTAAAGTCCTAACCCCCAAGACTGAGAAAACCTAGACCTAGGACGCAAATAGATCAAAGCTAGAATTATGGCACAATAACCCTAGATCTAAATCTTTACACCATAGATCTGTTGGTCAACATCCAAATCAGAGAGGCAAAGAGGACCGGCTCTGATACGGGTGAGCCCTTGAAGGCTTGGGAATCCTGGACCATCTGGGCCGATTTGGTATTATTTCTTCCTCTCTCTTTCTTCTTCTTTTCTCTGTTTTGCTTCTTTTATTTATTTTTGATCTGTTAACTTGTCTTTAAAAATGTATTTTAGTGGTCTAGATCATGCTAGCTCTGCCACAGTTCTGATAGTAGATCTACTCGTTTTCGAGCAAATCTGGCCTCAGATCTGAATTCAATCTGTCTCACTTTCTTTACCACTTTATTTACATCTTTTTAATTAGTTTAAGGTGTTAAAATTCGACATATCTTCATCGGAAGATCTGTCAGATTTTCATCATAAATAGTTTTGCGCCCACCGTGGGGTTATTTCAAACTTGATGCAAATTTCAAAATACAATTTTTATTCACTATTTTCAGTCACAAAAGGTCCCAAAATTCAGCTGTGACCAGAATTCAAGGTTTCGGTACTTCGAAACGTTGCTTTTTCTGGGCAACACTCCTAGTGTTGCCCAAATTCAAAGGTCTCAGAAACCTCTATAACTTTGTGGATCTGTTTTAGGGACTCTTTTGTGATTGCACAAAAAAATTCAGATCAAAATAAAATTTTTAAAAATGTTCAACCTACTCGTCACTCGACCACACATCGCTCCAGACAAAATGTTCAACCTATTCGTCTCTCACTACCGCGGGTCAACACCAAGACCTCTCTCCCTAGGAGAACTCAATGCAACAAAACAAAACCCAAGAGATACCTTCGAGGACTTCATCAGTCGATTCCACGAGACGGCAATGCGGGTAATAGAATGTCCACTTACAGACCCAGCCAAGATCTCCATAGTCTTCGAGAATGCTGCTCCCCAGTACAAGACCTTCTTTAGCCAAGTTCTTATCCCCCACTCTTTCGACTCTATGATCGAGCGGGTGGCGCGACATGAAAGAGCCATAGGGACATCCCTCAGCACCAAGCCTAACAACAAGCCGATAACAGCTCCCCAAAATAAGAACAAAAACAAGGGGAATGCTTCTGGTCAGATTAATGAGATCGTCGTTAACGGATCGGCCGAAGGTTCAGCTGCTCAACACAACAATTAGAATCAAAATCGAAGGAGTCAGCTTAGAATCAATGCTCAAAATAATAACCAAAGGTGAGAGGATAATTTCACCCCTCTTAAAGACCCATTAGAAAAAGTGTTGGAATTACTCTTGGCTAAGAATATGGTTTATCTCCCGCCACCATCTGAACCACCATTTCAAGTCACGGATAAGAGCAGGTGGTGCAAATTGCATAAAAACCATGCTCATGATACTCAAAACTGCATATATTTGAAACAGGTGATTCAAGGGTTAATCAATAAGGGGGACATCACTATCACACCTAGAAATCAACTTATCAAAGAGCGTAATCAAAAGATGGGTATCTTTACAAATCTCCCTAAAAATATGGTCACAACGACCGAAAAACCGAGAGCTCAAGACAACTCCAAAGAGGACGTTGTTATTCAATGATTGAGTGTGGAGA